CCCCCTGCCTGCCCCCCCACCCAGCAAGTACTCGCCCCAGCACGAGGGGCTGGTTTGGAAAACCAGAAAACCATTGCAGAAATGTCAACCCGTCTCATTAATCCAGCAGAGCAACGTAAAGGAAATACACGACCTGCAGGAAGCAGAAAGAGATGCAATGCACGCATCCTTTTGTCACTGCTTGAGTTCTTGCCCAAATCCACCACTCCTGCACTCATTCAGTACCTTGCAAAGTAAAGGACTATTGTGTATTATCCACACCACTGAAAATGCACCTTTCACAATACCATTACTTTAGCGCTGTATGATCAGTAATTCAGTTTTTGATATCTGTTCAGTCTTCGATCTAAAGCAAAAGCTTCAGTATTTCATTTAATTTGTTTTTAAATTTTTACTTTTTGGTGCAATTTTTACCTTGAAACCTACATGGATAATGCTCAAAATTCTTCAAAAATACTGCTGTTTGAATTTTAGTCATGTACCAAAAGAAATATTACACAAAAATATTTTCTTGCTTTATCTCTACAGTTCCTGAAAAACTGTGTCTTGTGGACTCAGATACAAACATACTGGAGAAACCAAATCGACATGAATAGAGAAGACCTCAAATGGCCACTGTGATCTGTAACAGTCTATATACACATTATATACATAGGACTGTCTGAAAGCCTGTATTCATGACTGTGTACAGTCTACAAAGTTTGTTTATCTGAGGGGTTTTTTTTAAGTAAGTTTTAACTACTGTTGGAAACCAGGAGAACAACCTTATGGTGGCACAGAAAACATAGTGTTACTGGATTTAGTCTTACCCTCCTAGTGCCACTGCTCATTAACTATGAACTGATTTTGCAAATCTGTCATTCAACACAGTAATGTCTACATTTTTTTCTTATTGCATTTGTACATGTAACAAATTTGTACAAATGTTTACAACAAAATGTAAAGTTCATTGATACAATGCCTTTCACGGTGGCCGTAATGTGTTACTAGCCAACTCTAGTTTTTTTTAGACATTTTTAGCTGAACTTGGAAAAATAGGAAATGTATTGTAGCTTAAAACAAATGTACACAATATACAATATATATATTTATACACATGTGTATGTCTACATACACATATATTAATATAACATTTGAAGTAAAGTTTAGTTTTGATCAGTTCTCTGAGTGCTGGGACTACCTGGCAAATAAACCTAGAAACAGAATTTGTCCACAATTAAATAATCATTTCCACAACTTAGAAAAATATACTTTCAGTAAATAAGGTTTAAATTAACTGTTTCACGGATATAGCATGGAGGATAACGGTTTCCAGACTCTGGCATGATTAAATCTGAAAGAACCCAATCTACCACAAACCAGTAACAAACGCTGCCCTGCAGCCAAACACAGAAGAGCACAGAAACACCAGCTGCTGTTGCAGCCATCACAAGTGGCACCCAAACCCTCTCTGGTTTGGTCACCTCTTACATAGGCTTCATTTCCACCCGAAACAAGAAGTCCACCCGACCTCTCGCTCTGTTATTTAAGGCCCACCTCAACCACAGCCGCACAGCGCCTGCCGTCTTCCCCGAGCACAGCCCTTGCCCACTGATGTGCACAGCTCCCCGCTTCCACGTAACTCTTCCCTTGAGAACTAACATATGACCAAGGTCCCTAATTAATGACTTGGAGGACCATCAGTACTTGAGCTTCATCATACAGATTTTGATCTACTGCATAGGTAAATATGTTATAGCAAAACATACATATACATGTGTGCACGTGTCTATGTGTATATATAAAAGTACATACACATAAACACGCAGATGTGTGGCAGTATGCGTACATCTCTATATAAAAAAATTTCATGGAACTATGTGTAGTAATGAGATATACCATGGTATCCTGCATACATGATCTGATCTTTTTTTTGAAATATATAGGCACCAGAAATAAGTATATGGAGCAAATCAACCTTTAAAAATTAAAGTTAAATCAGTGGGCAAGAACTTTGGTAAAGCTTGTCAATATTTATTTTTTTTAAATTCAAATACAGTCAAAGTCTATCAGTTGCCATCACCCTCTTCACAAGAGGAAAGTGCATGTTTGTTTGTTTTTTTCCTAAAGAAAATTATATGTAAGGTGGGGCTTAACGATCCAAGAAAATTCTGAATTCAACGTTTACATTTTTCAGAAGATTACTATCTTTCTGATGGAATGAAAGCTAAATAGAGTTCTTGTCCTGTGTTTTATTTATCGTGTGCATATATATATAAATACATATATATATATGTATGTCTCTGTTTATGTACCTGTGTGTGTATATACACATCCACACACTTTTAACATGAGGGAGGAACCTGTTTTTCTCCACTTTGTATGCAGAGACTTACACGTTCCTCCCTGTCTTGTACCCTGTGCAGTATAAGCTCTAGTGATGAGGCCAAACAAAAAGATATAGTTCACCATAGTATATTAGTTTATGTAGCAAAGTCATCTTCAAGCAAGTAAAATAAAGCTCTGTATTCCAAACTTCTTTTCCTTTACATTTCTCATAAAGAAAAGGAAGGAAAAGGAAAGAGGGGAGGGAGTAGGATTATGGCAGTAGCACTGAGCCAGTGGCACGCCTGCGTGTGTGAGCGTGCAAGTGCCTGCACACCCACACACGCACACGTGCACAGAGAGCAGGGCTTTGGTTGACAAATGCAGATTGTCCAGAGAAGGCGGATGCATAAGTAAGGAAGACTCTACGGTGATGCAATTGTATCTTTTATGTTTGCATGGAGTGAGAAAACAAATTCAATTGAAAAAAAAAGCAAAAAAAAAAAAAGCAAAGACCTCTTTTTAGGTCCCTCATCAGCGAGAGCATACTCAGTATGCTAGAGAATTTATCTGAAACCTTTTAAATCAAGGCCTCTTTATTACAAAAATAAAAATGAACAAACAAAAAACGCATGAGAGACAACAAGATGCTGAAGTGTCACTCCAATCGTCCCTGCAGAGAACAATTGCATCCCATTTTATTATTCATTCTCTTCTCTCATTTCTACGATGTCTGTCATTTCCTCTGTGTGAGGCATGTCGGTCATGGCAGAGTCTTCACCTTCTGTAGCCGTTTCATTCTCATTCCGCTTCTTTTTCTAGATTGAAACAAGCATTCAGAAACCCATCAGTAAGCAGTGCATGAACACAGTCCTACAAACTTTGGGCACTGGAAGAAGTGATGTGCAAATAACAGGGTTTTTTAGTATGTTATTAAGAACTAGAGTATTCGTGTCATATTCATGGCTTGTCACTAATATGGCTTGTCAACTTAACTGGAAAGGTTTCCATAACCTTCCTGGGGCTCAGCTTTCTCCTTTCTAACATAAATGCAATAATAGAGGCATTTCTTATGCTAAGCAACATCCACAACAGGCTTCAGCTGGAGCAAAGACAGCATCTGGAATCTTTTACATCACAGACTTTTTATTAAAAAAAGACCAAAAAACAGAAAAGCAAGAAAATATGAAAGAAGATAAGCTGCTCTAGGGGAAGAGAGAGAGAGGTGGCAATCTAACTTCTCAAATATCAGACTTCAGGAATTTTACAAGATGTGTATATGCTGGTTTTTCTTGGCATTGCTGATTCACTGTGATCCCCCACTAGGGCCAAGTAATATTACTGTTCTTTTGGCTAGCAGGAGCAGGAGGGCATTCAAGAGTCCTATGATTCATCCAGGATGTCCTGGATTAGTAAAGCTAAGAAGCATTCAGCTCCACTACAAAACAAGTTGAAGCATCTGTTCCTTATTATCCATTTCTCAGCAGGCTAACTAGTTTTACAGAAAACACTTGTGCAGCTGACAAAAAAATCCCCGACAGGTATTATTGATTCAGCTGAGTTGGGCATATCAGAGGTTCAAAATTTCAGTGGTGTCTACACAACACTTGATTTGCAGCTCTCAAACGCTGCCTGCTTATTACCACTGTAGGTGAAAACAAGTTGGTGCATATGGCTACTGGTGGGCTCTACCACTGTCACACTGGTTGTTGAGAGGATGCTGTCAGTGACATACTAATTCTGGTAAGGGAATAAATTAGGTTGGCACTGCTGTTACTACTACTGCCTGCACTCACCACTGCAAAAAATTAAGCACCATGTCCCTGGCCAGAAACACTCTATGAGCTACTGCTGTAACAAGCAAGCAATGAGGGGGTTAGTTCAAAGGGATGTATGTTGTGAAACCACAGGCCAAGACCAGTCTTCAGTGTCTACAGGTTCTTTGGTGCTCAAGAAAAACATGACAGACTGACCAAGGTCTTCTGTTTTCTTATGAACCTTGTACACGTTGGCCTACTGCCATGGCCTGCACTGTAATAACATATCAAAACTGCTTTTAGTTTGTTCCAACATAAGGCTTTTAGATATCCCATCTTCCATGTTTTTTTGCTAAAAAGAGAAGTGGTGGGCATCTTCTCTTTGCTTTCAGTAAGAAGTCTAAAAAACATGTAAATACATAGATTATATTTTCTGCTCCCATCCACAGAGTCCTTCTGCACCATGGACACACCATGCCACTTCTGCTTGGAGTTGGGCTTGGTGCCTACACAGTGCTTTGAACACATAACTGGAAGGGCATAGCACACAGGTACTGCGATGTACCCAGTCACTAAGCCAGTATTTCCCTATGTTTGACTTCATTTAGTGGAATATTCTTAGAAATCCATGTACCGCTACTACTCTGTACATGCAGGACTGTAGTGTACGAAATATGTTAAAGCATGCCTATGAGAAATCCTCGCCTGTTTAAGTGTCTGTAAGCTCTTAACCTCTACTGCTGCAGGACTGTGTGTTGTTTTAAGCCACTTCTGTAGACGGCAAAAAAAATGAGCACCTGTACTTTTTGTCCATTTTCAGCAGAGCTGGTTTTATAAAGAAACAGAAGTATACGTGTATATACACACACACATATACATACACATATACATGTAATAAACTCGGATGAGTAGTTTCTACGTCAACATAAAGAAGCTATGTTGTACTGTAATAGCAGATCTACAGTGCAAAACTGGTGGTGATAAGTACATGATATCCATGACACAAGTTTTGAGGAGCAAGAGGTTTCCTTCAGATCAGTGTGTCCCTCAGCCTGGTCCCATGCCCTGAATGCCCACTAGCAGTTGGAGGGCACCTTTTGGATTTATTTAAACCCAGAGAATTCCCAAGTTGCACACTCTTGAGACAACATGGGGAAGCAAACCCAATCCAGTAAGTGAGGATGCTGGAGAGTGACATTTCAAAAGTGTACTCTTAATCTGAACTAAAATCCACTATGCTCATCAGCTGCTTTTACCAGATCCCACAGAGCCTAATTCTCACCTGTTTCCGATAGACGTAACAGGCTGCTATCGCAACCATGGTGGATTCTCCTACAAAACCAGCTAGAAGGGATCCTACTCCAAGGGTGGCTCCATGAACTCTGTGGGTGGCATAAAAAGAAAGTAGTCATGGCTGTGTGAGAATGCATGATTCATAACTATATTTCCACTGGCATATAGAATACATCTGTTGTTAGAAATATTTCCTTCAAAGACATAATACACTGGCAAAAAGAAGAAATGGTACTCTAAAGGGCTTTTTGTTTTTTGTTATGGCGTCACTGTTTAAAAGAAACATTCTGAATCAAATAATGGACTAAGAATTCAAAGTCTCATACAGAGTGCTGTAAAACAGATTATTTAACTTATAAACAGAATATTCTTCCACTAGCTTTCTTAACTGTGCATTTAATAGAATTGAAATAAATTCCCCGTAGGATACATGTTTGCCTCTCTGACATTTGCCTATTTTATTCAAAAGGGACATCACTATCATGCCTGCCTAGAGGAAAGTCATACTTGAGAATTTGTAGATGTTTTTTTTCCAGATATTGACACCATTTAGGCTTTACATTATGGTTAGTGTTTGGGGAAAATGTTCTGAGCTACCCAAATTCAGCTATTAAGTGACATGAGACAGAAATGAAGAGGAAAGCAAACCCATCAGCTCTGTGGAGAGGAGAATGCTTTACCCCAAGTAAGGCAGCACGATGAGACTGGTGATGAGGACAATAATCCGCAGCACTGAGCTGGGTGCCAGCACAAATGTCTTCTTCAGAGTCATCAGCCAACCAGTCAAGTGCGCTCTGACCGTCACTGTTCAGAAGCAGGGGAAGAGGAGGGGATGGGAAGAAAGGGAGGCGAGAGAATAAAAAAATATCAGTCATCTCATATGAAGCTTTTTCATGCGGAGAGCACTGTTCAGAAATAACCATGGTGAAATTTGTTTCTGGGAACTTCACACACTGGGAAAAGTACTAGAAATGAAATAGATCTTGTGTCCAAATTGCTTTCTTATACTGATTTTTGAAAAAACCAAAGCATCAGTTATAGACAGCAAGCCTTCCTGAGAGATGTTATCTTACAACCAATTTATTAGATGGTCTATTCTGTTTTCTTCATTAAAGGAATATCCCTTCCCTAAACAGAAATTGTACCAAGGAAAATTTTCCCTCTAGCTCCTGTGTGATACACGGTGTAACAGCTAGTCACAAAAAACACTATGTATGTGCACCTATTCTTATATTTGGAATTTACCTTTATTACAAAACTGTCTTGTCAAATAAGCAGAAAACACGACATTATGTAGCATTTGATTACAGAACCTAGAAATGTTTTGAGGTGAAATATTTTGATTACCTCTCTCTTGAGGGCATTAACTTTTATTCTATATTGTTCACAAATAGAGGCAATAACTTTTATCCTATATTGTTCATGCTGTGATGACATCTAAAAGTGTCACCGAGGCTGGCAGCAGAAGGGGAGACTAATGGAGGTGATGTTACTGTGGAGCTGGTCCTAGATGCTATCCCAGGCAGTTTATTTCAGTCTTGGCATGCATGTCTTGCTACTGCCATTCGTGTGTGTGTGTGTGTGTGTGTGTGTGTGTGTGTGTTCTTGGTCAGCTACAATAGACAGAATTCAGACTTTGACAGTCAGAAATCTGCTTAATGACAGACTGCTCTTACTGCAACATTCGTATCTTGACTACCCATGTAAATAGTTTTAGCCTACACCAACTTCAATAAAAACCACGTTACTTATGCCAGGCATACGTTTAGCCACTCTTGTATGTACAGCCATGGCAGACTCCATGACTGCACCCCCAAGCTGGTTTGGTTTTGAGGTTACAAAGTTTTTATTTTCTTGTTTTTTACCTGGAACTGGAAAGAAGGAGAAGATGCGCAGAGGAACAACACACAGCTCTGCAAAAGCGAAGTCTACTCCAATTATGTCAACTAAAATCTTCTCTGACACGTTTGGCGTCCAAAACATCACAAAACAGAGCTAGGAGGAACAAAATTAAAAAATGTATGTCAGAAGGGAAGTACAACAAAATATAGGCTCTTCTGGTCTAAAACATTTGTTTACTCTACCAACAGGGTTTTTTTGGTATTAAATGAAGAAAGAAGATGGATACAAAGTAATAAAAATTTGTTTCCTTTTCATAGTGTTCAGGGATCTGTAGCATGCAATGATTGAGGTTTTAATCATCACTAAGGTAGGCATATTTTATAACTAACTTTAATCACTTTTTTAACCGTTCTCCTATGTTATGGCTCAGTCTGACTATAATGAAGAAGAAATTGGAGGAAGGCTTTAGAAGGCTCTTTGGAAATCCACCCCAGTCACTAACAGTTCTTGACTTTGACTTAAGTTGAGAATGCTGAACGCTCCAAAACTCACAACCAATTTTGTCATTCTCAATAAAGACTGGAAAACAGATTCTCACTTCTCTCAAATCAATCGATCAAAAATATTGGAAAACAAACAATCACAGGCAAAGTTCATAAACACAGAACTAATTTCCTTTACTGTCAGAAACGTATTTGAAGCACTGTTTTGCAAGAATCTAAAGACATTTAAAAACTTTTAAATGCAGTAAGACTCTAGGGTACACATAGTATATTTATACTCAGCTTGCACACAAATACACAGAGTACACAAGTAAGAGAAGCATGTTAACTTCAGAAGCAATTCCTACCCCTCCAGTTCCTCACATACCAAGACTGACGCATATAGAAAGAATTTTTATGCTGCCTACAAATGGTTGTACTTGAATGGTCTAATTGTTAGAAAAACAGTAAAAACTTGGTATTTACAATTCTTGCTCTGGTTAAGACACCCATATTCTTCCAGATTATTAAATGTTTAATAACTAAAGATATGTAGTACCCCAAGACCCAGAGATCTGACCTAAATCTAAGGTTAGGCGTTTATATATGCTGCTGATAGTCATGCTGATGGTACATAATGTGCCTGATACAAAGGCAAAGGTGTTCAGTGTAGTCCTGCAGACACGGTGCTCTCAGGCCACAAATCCACCAAGTGTTGCTATTTTAAAGAGTGTGCTGTTTAGTCCATACATGAAAGGAAAACTTCAATAAAAAACCTGCAACAAAAGGTACAGCGGTAGTACATGCTGTTTAATTTTTTGGTCAGTCCTGAGGCTGAGGGGGCTCTTGGCAGCTGGCAGGTCCAGCTTTGGTTCAAGACAATCATTGAGGAATGGTGCTGACAGCCCCTACAGGACTTTTCCTGTAACAAGGGGTACCAGAAGTCCTTTCAAGTATAAGTCCTTTGTTATTTAACTTCGTTTTGTGATTTAAGAAGTTATTTCTTCCTGTTATTCTCACAGTAAAGCAGATGTTAAGGAAGTGAGACTTTAAATGCTCAGACACTCCTCTGCCATGTTGCAAACCAGTGTACCAGGTAAATTATGTGCACTGGCTGTACTATCTGATGGCTCCGTAAGACTCTGTAACCACTCATAATTTAGCCTACAAGATAGCATCATCGTATCTAGCTTTTCTCCTATTAAACAGCTGTCACATCCCTACATGTTCGGATGGCTTTTAAAGCTAGTCTTTGAAGTCCTACCACCTCCGAGACAGCTGGGACTTCTCACTCATTCTCTGGTTGTGTGCCACAGTTTGTATCTTCTGTTTAGCCTACAAGTACCCAGACCACAGAAGTTTCCCAAAGACCATGACCAAGTGGCCCCTGGGAGGTCTTGTGTTCTGACAGCCTGTGCAGTGAACAAAACATTTCATCTTCCTGCAAAAAGGCTCCTCTTCAGTTCTCTTCCCCACTTCTTAGGGTAGGAACCACTACTTGCATTTTACAATTGAATGTTTTATGTGCCTAACTTGATGTTGTCTTGCAGTGTATCTCCATCTGCTCTGCATAGGTATACAGAGAATATCAAGTGGAGGAAGGTAAGAGCAGAAGACAAATGAACTGAGGATGGAGGGTTTTTTCTGCTTTAGCCAGCACTTCTCTCTCCCTGCCAAACTACTTGTACAGGTTACAACTGAAGCAGATGGGACCATCCAGAGCAGAGGAGGCTATGTGGCTGAGAACCCAGTTATTAAAAAGTAACTGTACAGTGACAAGAGCAAATTCTTTCATTGTGGCAGACTGCAGTGATTTGTATTCTTACCTCAAATGACCTCTAAATCAGGGAATATTTTGTCAAATCTTTCTTTAAAGTTCAATAAACAAAATAAGATGCCAAGATGTCCACTCTTCAACCATAATTTGCTGTTTTCATGAAAGCAAAGACGTTTATGCTGCTCGTACTGCACAATGCCATTAACATCCTACTGAGCAGTATAGTTACTGCTGCTGCAAGATTCCATACATTTATGCTAACAGCAGAGCCTGCCCACTGCTAGCAAAAAGCAAATACAGCAGTCTTTCCTTCTTCAACAGACACTTGGAAGAATATTCCAACATAGTCAGACAGGAAAGTGAGTAATTGACCAAAAGCACTGTTCTCAATCCTGTTTTCTTTGAAGTTAAACTTTGGTTCTGGCCTTAATAAAACAAAGTCAATCTCCATCCAGCTCTTATGGGAGAAAGATCAAGTTTGCAAATCAGAGGTAATGACTTATACCCAGGTGGTATGCAGTCATTCCTCCTTAGCTGTTGCAAACTGCACTATTCCCCACTTCCCTCCCCCAATCAGCAGTCGGTGCTGACACATGGCTTCGAAGAGCACTTCTTATATATAGCAGCTGGTGGGTAAAGACAGCAGTGACTGTTAAGCTCAAGAATAAGCAGTTTGAGGAGGTGAAGTATGGCAGCAGAAGGACCTTCTATTTCTGTCTCAGCGTGCTTCCATCTTTAGGTTGAATACTGATAACTAGTTTCCTTTTGCAAAGAGATTCCTCTCTGTCATCTTATGAGCAGATGATAATCTCACTGCCTGCAAGGGACAAAACCTCAGAAAAAGAAATTAATGCCTTGCATCATGCAAGCACTCTGCATTTCACCTTCTAGAGCACTTGAAACTCAGGAAGTTTCCATATTATTTCAAAGACAAATTCAAAATATAGTGGAAAAAGCCAGGCTCTACATCAGGAAGACAGTAACATTAAGCATGCAAAGGAAGGAAGGTATTTTGGCTACTGATTTTATTACAGGTGAAGTAAACTGAAAACAGGATGAAATCTTGGTGTTTTGTGATGCTGAACAGTCTGTATAATGTTTGTGATTACCTTGGTAAAGGGTGAAGACTGGTCAGAAAGGGGACCAGAGAAGATGGTAGCAGATGAAATAGCGCACGTAGTCCAGTGAAACACAGGGCATGGCACGCACAGTTAGAGGTGGGATCTACTGGAGTAAGCAGTGGTAACTTCCTGGGGCTCGGATCAGGAAAGATTTTAGAAAATAGGTTTACCTATAATATGTCTTAGTATGTCTCCTATCTTAAACACTGTTTGTTTCCTCTCCCCCTCCCTTACATCTTTCTGCATGTGTCTCCAAGGTTAAAAATAGAATAAATAGGCTTGGGTAGGGTTACAGTTATACCTTCAGTTAATCTAATCAAGAGGTGAAGATGAAACAGTAAATGCTTCAGCATAGACTAGCAACACACACGCATAATGGCATTGCAGCTTGGGGTTGCAATTGCAGTTGTCTGCAATGGCTATACACAGTAACGAATACTGTACTTGGCAATTCTGCTGAGGCTGAAGCAATTTAATGCTTTGGGGGTAAGGATTTTTGCTTATGGTATTCTAGCAACAGAATTGACTTGATTTTCTGTTATCTTATGGTATAAGTGTACCATGGTATTAAAGGATAGTTTTGTTAAAGCCTTTGATCATTTAAACAGAACTTCAACTGAGCAGTGATGAGCATTTTAAAAACAGGAAAAAATGAAGCTACAAAGAAGAGAGTGGAACACTACAGAGAATATGCAGACCTGAGTAAGGACAGTAGTATTTACTATGGTGGTGTTATCTCTGTATAAATAACAGTAGCCTAAGTATTTCTAAAAGTGTTTTAATGATTTGAACTGATCTGAAGGGTTGTGCTATTGGGTAACTTGTCTTTAACTGACCTACAGTAGTAAAATTTGAAAGATTTTATTAAATATGTCAATGATTTACACCAGCATAATAAAATCAGTATAGCTGTACAAGATCAGATGAAACTTTAGCTAGGTTAGTACCCTGCTAAAGGTCACTGGGGCTGGCATAAGCAAAGGGTACAAAAAGCAGGCCAAGTCCAGAGTAAGAGATTTTTCTTCCCTGGCTGCATGGTCTGAGCTGCTGGCAGTTACAGCTTCAGGTGTTCAGTAACTGTGGTGCACCTTAACACCATGCAGCAAAATGTTGTGCATACAAAATATCTAATACATTAGTGATTTTTTTTCCCCTCAATCCAGGTGTGCATTAAAAGAAGTCCAAAAAACTTCTCACTTGCAGCTCAGACACTCTCTGTAGGTAGAAGTGCTTACTTTCATGTGGAACCTTGCTATGCTCAGCTAGCAAATTTAGTGTCTAGGCATAATAAAATGTTACATGTGAAAACTTCTGCTGTCAACAAGCCTAAGAGAATGCACCAAATCTTTGTTTTGGTAAGGAAAATATCAAACTGGTGCTGCTCAGTCCAACTTCTCTTTAATCTCTTCTCTCAAGCATGCTTCATGCATTTGACTTTCACAAACGATTGTGACAAAAGGCTGTTCATGAGGTTTTGTTTCACGTGCTCCATGTGTTTGAATGCTAGTAGTTCTTCTAACAGTCTCTTCATACGCTCTGCATCTCCAGGAAGCTCTATCCCCATTTATTCTGGTTGCTGACAGGGATTACTAAACCTCAGAGACCCATTACACAATGCATTATAATAGATTATGCTAGCAAAGGCTATTGTCATGTGTATAGCAATCCGCAGGGTGCTGGACTCATTTGCTTTTAGGCCCTTGTAGAAAGCTGCCTGTCTTTGGCGTCATTCACTGATAAATACACAGCACAAAAGAGTATTCCAGTGAGCTA